GAATCTGTTTAGTTTGTTTGGAAGGTATTTTCATATAGATTCATGAAGTGTCAACGAAAATATTTTCCTTTTTTAATATGGGAGGAGTGGGCTGTCAAATCCAACTCTATAATAACTGCAATTATTTAACAGAGCTTTGTTAAATCGTTATCAAAATTTTCTTATTGGAGATGGTTGGTGTCTTTGCTAATTAAATTCGAATTTATCTTCACGCCCTTATTCTACTTACGCTTATTGAAAAATAGCGAAAAATAATTCTTAAAAAAATTAAAACAATTTTTGGTTCAAAAGACTAGACGTATTGAAAAAAGAAGACTAGTGTTTAATAACGTGCAAAAAACTTCATGTACACAATAAACATTTTTTACATAAGACAACCTTATTTTTTATTGTTGATTTTACTGAAATATTTTCTTTTTTTCTTGTTATAGAAGTTGTTTCCTACAATATTCTCATTTTCACTTATCACTTATCCTTCTATTACACTTTGGTTAAGAACTAAAAGCACTTTCGACGTTTTAAACTGGCGGCAAATCGTTCGTTACCTTATCATCATTTATATTGCTATGTTCCTTTAATAGTGCACCATAGACAGACAGAGTTGCATCTCGAAAAAAACGATAATATTTATAATTAAAAATTCTGGGCAGCCAATATTTTTTCGTTTTGTACAAACCAATCTTTACATTCTTCTGAAAGTTAGAAAGCAAATAAAAAACTCTTTAGCTATAATTACTTAAATAGATTACGTCTGCGCCCTATAACTTAATGCGGATGTATGTAACACGCAGAATGGCTCAAGATATTTTATTATTTCAACTGATTCAGAATCATAATCTGAATCGGTCTAAGCCTGTCTGTTCGTCAGACGTATTTAACGGTCGGCCTTGGCAGACTGTAATGTTCTTTCTGGTTTTAGTTATAAACTTATTAGAAAATAATTATAAAGTGAGAAGACGAAAAGGACCTCACATATTAAACCTTTACCTTCGTATAGACACATTAGTGCTACTCTTAATGTATATTCAAAACTTGATGTTATAAATTACACGAGTATTATATGTGGTTGTTAAATTCACTGAAATCTAACTATTATATTATATTATTATTTTTGTCTTTTTTAATTGTTAATTCACTTACTATATAGATTCCAAATAAGGGCAAATTAAAAAAATGCTTATAGTTAATTAACGAAACACTTTAATTAAATTCTAACTTGAAGAAAACAAAAAAAAAAAATTGTTTTTCAAGTCTTCTCTAAAGCATTCATTGTAAACATTATCATCATGCTTTGTATATTTGATTGTTTGCGTTTCGTTCCTCTCACGCGAAATATAATGCAAATGTTGTTATCTTATGACACTAAACGCGATAGCGACCACTCTGCCATTTGAAATATAAAAAATGTGTAACGGGACTTTAGATATTTACGCTTCTTTTTGAAAAGCTGTGCAAATTTTCCTTTTAATTTGTTAATAAAAGAAATATGAACGAAGTTAACGGATTGTCTGACAAGCGAAAAAACATTGAGCAAATTGACTTAGTAAGTAGGGAAACTTATGGCGATAATATGTGGGCTGTTTGCATTTATCTTATTTTTAGCTTGGTTTAGATGATACTTGTAACTCAATAGAGCAATCACTACCTGGTTCAAATTCTGCCTCCTCGAAAATCGGAAAAGTAATACGAATCCATGAATCATCAGATGAAAGTCAATCAGAATACAATACGTACAATAGTCCCCAATCCAAGGTCGATAAGAATGACGTCTATGATCGCTATCATTTTGATTTGGAAAGAAACAAAAGTTTACCAATACATGACTATAAAGATGAAATTGTTGCTAATATTAAGCAAAATCCGGTTACAATATTGGAGGGCGATATAGGTTGTGGAAAAACAACACAGGTTTGTTATTGCATTGGTAAGAAATTTAAGTTTACGTTTTATAAAATTTCTTGGCAGGTTCCCCAATATATTATTGACGATGCCTATTCTCGGAGAGAATATTGCAAAATTGTTTGCACACAACCGCGAAAAATAGCAGCAATTTCCCTAGCGAATCGTATTTGCGTAGAACGAAATTGGCCCCAAGATTCTCTAGTAGCATATCAGGTAAAAAATATATACATTTATTTTTTTCTCTTATTTTTTGAATATAATAATTAACTTGCAAAATTTTAGATCGGCCTTAATTCAAACGTAAGCGAAGATACTCGTTTGCTTTTTTGCACTACCGGTGTTCTACTGCAACAACTAGTCCATGAAAAATCATTGAAGAGATATACTCATATTATATTGGATGAGGTACATGAACGCGATCAAGAAATGGATTTCTTGTTATTCCTTATTCGACGTTTATTAACAACAAATTCAAAGCATGTTAAAATTGTGTTAATGTCCGCCACTATTAATGCCACGGAGGTAAGTTTAAAGAAAACGATATTTCGCTTTTTTGTCTTTACTACAAAAAAAAAAAAAAAGTAAAATTTTTTATATGCATTGTACATGTCACGACAAAAGCAGTTGGTATAGAGGCAAAAGACAAGTGTTTTTAAAAATGAAAAACTTGGTTTTCTCGAATTTTTTGTGTTAACATTGGTTTCGTGTCGCTTGTTACCTATACAGATCGCCATTACTATTCATGTGTTAACATTTTCTCATTACTGTGCTCGAGAAAAGATCAAATAATGTAGACGACATGTCGATTGCATTGGCGACAGCTTCATTATTATTAGCAAGCATTACCTATATTACAATCAAACAAGGTCGGCCATTAAGTACTTTGCAAATATTTTTTTCAAAATGAATTATAAGAATTATTCGAATCCTTTTACCACAAAAATACATACGTACATAGATTGATAAAAAGATTGTCAAGCAGGGCTTATATCAAATCAAAAAATCAGCCGGAGTCAACCGATATAAGAAGTTGTTCTTACCTTTTCCTACATCAGCAAGTGTAGGTGTAAGTTATATAAATTTATTCCAAAACGTGGATCATGTAGGTTTGAAGTTTTTGTCCGGCCCACTATTAAATATCTTACACCTTACTTTTCAAAGTAACGCATTGTACGGGAAGTGGTCCGATTTGAGCCATTTTTAAGCGCATTCGCCGTTGCGCCAAAACAGATCGGCGCGACTGATGTATCTGAAAATTTGCAACTTGTTTTTACAAAGTGATTCTGAGTCGACCGTAATAATAACAAAAGATGGAACTATCGCAAGTCCAAGAAAGTTGAACATAAGAAACTAAAACCAACGAACGAACGGGCAAGCTTAAATCATTTAAGGAAGTGATTCTGAAGCGATTTGTATAATAAAAGTTGGATACATCTCAAGTTCTTCTGTGGATACAGCTAACATTCGCAGAAATTTAATTTACCACAAGTGTTATAGGGTATACTAAAAAACGATATAATGACTGATTCAATTTTGAAAAGTTTTGGTAAAGTTTTGCAAATGTATTTCTTTTTTTATAATTTTTTTTTAGTTTTCAAATTATTTTAAAGTACTTGGTACACCAGCCCCCATAGTGAAAGCCGGGAATCATCGCATGTTTGAAACTTTAGAATTTTACTTCTGCGATCTAAGCCTTATAAATCCTAAGGTAGGGATAAATTCAAGCATAAAAATTTTGTAATTTTAAATTTCCGTAAATTGTTTTGCAGAACTTTCGACCAAACTATAATAATTGCCATATTAGTGAAAAAATGTATAAGATTGCTTTCAAATTAATCGGAGTCTGTAATAATATTGAAAAAAAATTGTCCGAATTGAATAAGACAACCTTGTCTCCTAATAAAGCATCGATTTTAATATTTTTGCCTGGAATTTACGAAATTTTTCGTATGAATCAAGTAATTAATGAATGCAATGATGTCTGCAGGTAGGCTAAGAATTTTTATTATAAATATAGAAAAAAAATATCACTAACGGTCTCCTATTTCCTGGTAATACGTGCAGAATTAAATTACATATCATACGTTTACATTCTTTAATACCGCCGAATGAACAACTTAATGTATTTCATCGGTCTCCACCGGGCTATCGCAAAGTAATTTTGTCAACAAATATTGCCGAAAGTTCCGTAACAGTACCGGATGTTAAATATGGTAAAAGAAATTTTTTACAAATCATATATTTATTTCTTTTCACAGCCTTACATATCTCTTGTATATGGTAAATGAAAACAATTAAGAATTTTACAATCGCGCAACGACGATTATTATGTACCGTACACCATCTCGCCCGATAAAATCATTTCCTCACTTTCATAACAATGCAGCAAAAACTAATTTTTATGTAAATACATAACTTTGATGAAAGGACTTTTTCGTATTGCAGAATAGCCCAACGTCGACATGGTCTAAATTTCGCAAACTTAATTTACTTATTAAAGATGTTACCATTTTCCAGTTGCTTCTGTCATAAAAAGCCACAAATTAGACTTTGCCGCCATAGAAGTGTTTGCTTTCCTAAGAGCTCCTATAATTGATGCAGTCCAAAATATATTGATCAATGTGATCTAAATTTCCTAAGGTTAATTTGTTAAGGACCAATTTTTTCATCATAAAATATTAAAATTTCCTTATACGGGTTAGGTCGAAAATTACGACCAGAGGATGAAAAAAGTGGACATACATGGGACGGACGGACAGATAGATCGGTATAATAAAATGTGGATTGATCGGTATAATAAAAAGTGGATTTGTGCCAAGTCTTTCTGGGTGACCGCATAAGCTTAACATAGCTTGCTTGTCCCGCATGTGGTTTAGGGTACTAGATAGATGCTGCCAGAAATTAAAAATAGTCGGATGAAAATTTAGAAGTAGAAAATTGCAAAATAACACATCCCATAGTATAAGAGAGATAAATAAACTATTATATATAATATATATATATATATATATTATATGACAAATCTCAAACCAAAGCAGTGATGTGCAGCATTCGCTCCTGAGTACTCTTTACATTTTGTAAACAATTCGAACAAGCCTGCTAAGTCATTATCCACTTGCCCCGTTAAATCTAAACATTTTTTGCTGTCAGCCCTCGTCACCACATATTCATATATCAAAAACCTTAACACGTATCCTTGCATCTGAGTCTCAGTTAAACTATATAGTATTTAGTAGATCAGAAGCTACGACAATATCGTGCAAAGGCCTTTTATGGCATTAGCTAGACTTCTCAGGTACGATCCATGCTCAACTACATTATCAAATATCGCAAAACCGTAGGCACATCTTAATATAGATTGCTTATCAAAAGCTCAGCTAGCGAAGACATCAAATGAATTTAAAAATTATTTATCGGTAAAAGTGCAGTCGTTTTTACATAAACCAAAAAGTCGTCACTTTAGTGAGGCGTGAAGGGATAGTTCTCGACCTTGTGAAAATACTTGCTTTTCATGAAAACCATTTTTATATTCGGTCCGTTTCTGCTTTAGATCTAACCTCTTTCACACCTGGCGATAAAATTTTGATTCCAAACTATGCTAATACACGTTAGCATGTTCCTTAGCCAATTAGCCAGGTCAAATTACTGAGTCCAAATTAGCCCAAATACTGGTAGGGAAGTAAGTATATTTGAAATGTCGGCGGTTCTCGTGTTGATACAAGAGAAAATACTTTATATTTACTGAGATGATGGATAAGAAAATTTCTTGCAAAGTGAATAATATTTTTAAAATTAAACTAAATTTTGCGTACTTTTCTTTTAAAGTCATTGATTTTTGCCTAACAAAATTATTGACAACCAATTCGGGAACCAATTTCACATCCCTGCAATTGCAGTGGGCTTCTCGTGTCAATTGTCGGCAGCGGGCCGGACGTGCAGGTCGCGTTATGGACGGACGGGTTTATCGTTTAGTGGAGCGATCTTTTTATGAGGTTGATTGGTTGTTGCTGTTGTTGTTCTTGTCGTATTTAATTATATATTTATATTACAGAAAATGAATGAATTTATGATACCAGAAATGGTTCGTTGTCCATTAGAAAATGTGATATTAAAAGCTAAAATTTTGGATATGGGACAACCGTGCGATATACTAAGATTAACAATGACGCCACCCAATCTTAAAGATATTTGTAATACCATCTTAACTCTGAAAGAATTGGGAGCTTTATATAAAACTGTTGATGGATCGTATTCGATACAAGATGGCGATATTACGTACATCGGTCGTATTATGGCTAATTTTCCTTTAAGTATACATCTGACGCGTTTGATTGTTTTGGGTTACATTTTCGGTGTTCTAGACGATGCCATTATTATGGGTAAAAATGTTGTTTTAAATATTGTTGCAAAATTTGTAAAAGTTTTAGTTTTTCATTTCCCGTTTTTAGCCGCCGGTTTAAGTGTACGGTCAGTGTTTGTATTGGAAAGCGTGTTGCAACAAAATAATATAGACGCGTACATACAAAAACTGGTATGGGCCAATGGTTCTGGTTCGGATTTATTTGCCATTTTAAGAGCTTATAAGGTAAGATTTCTTTTATTCATTATTATATCGAAAACTCTCTTAGAGCGCACGTATTATATAATATTTTTTGGATAATTTTGTATATGCAACTTGAAAACCGATCTAGCAAATGTTCTCCTTTAGGGCGTGAATTTTGATAGCAAAGTAAATACAAATCTGTATGTATTATAGCCTAGACTACTCTACAGCTATCCCTATATTGAATTTTCGAAATAAGGCGATGTATATGGCTGTGATCAAGTTGAACCATTTCCAAAACACATCGGCGTACCAAATTTTATCAAATTTAGCGGCGTTTAGGTGGAACACAAAAAAAACAATGAGGGACAGACGGACAGACAAGCTTAGATCGGTGTAATGAGATCTATCTGAAGTCCTTTTGGTTGTTGCTTACATTCGTACAAGCTTAATATACGTTTGTATCCCAAGTGGTGTAGGGTATGAATGGAATCTATCGATCATAATGAAGTTTACTCAATGGATGTAGGTAAGCCTTTATCCATTAAAGATGTTATGATATGCAATACAGTATTTAATGCTGCCATAGTCAGTATTCTTAGAATGAGAGTGCTTAAGTAACAATATTACAGGGGTTTGTTAGAATAAGTTCAACAAAAGTTATGTAAGAAATATATTATCGTTAATGAAAAGCGCACTCTATATGTATGTTATTGAGGCATTAATAGCAATCATCCGTTTTAAATTATTATAAAAGATATGTTCTTACCACGTTCAGCCGTAAAAGTTGTAGCTTGTTCGTGCTTGCTTCTTTTCTACTTAACAGCTTTAGTCTATTGCCACTAGATCAACATGCTATCGATGAGATTCCAGTTAGCCTTCTAAATTATTATAGGATATTAGTTAGGACTTAATAGTCTTACTCCATTGCCACTAATCTATTACTATGTTAGTAATGAATGGACTATGATATCATTAGGATATATACTCTCCTAATAGTTTTGTCTATTTGTGCCACTAGATGATCATGATGTGGAAGTAATCAATCATTATAAAGTGCTTTCTAAGCTATACGAAATAAGCTATGGGAACTAATTGCCATTAATCTATTATGTTACCAATGAATTCACTGTAAGTTACACTCGCTCTTCGTTCGGCCCTAATAGCCTTAGCTTAATGCCATTAAACAGTGATGATACCAACGAAGAATTGCCCGAGTCATTGTTTGATTTTTATTCCGCTGAATGTGTCGAAAGTCTATAAAATTGATGATGGAGGACGACACCAACAATGCAGTTGTTGACGCTTTTAGACAAGTAATGCGATATAAATTGAATTTGAATCATTTTATTAGAAATCCAATGGATACCTTATTATTTGATGAAATCATACCCATGAGCTGTTTGATGAGAGAAGTTGAATGGGAAGTTTATAATGTGAGCCTTTTCCCTGCTATTTTGTCTTTAACCTTTATTCAAAACTATCGTACTTTGACTTGTAAGCAACTTTTTCTGATTGGCTGGTAAAAAAAAAAAAAAAAAAAAAATTAAATCGCGGAGACGATAAGGATTTTTTGCAGGCTATTATGATCTCCTGAACAAGGACAATTCTACAGCCGTATTCTGGTCATCACCTGTCGTGAGAGCTTCAAGAGAAAGGAAAATAGTCGCGCGGTACGCCGGCCTACCGTTAGTCATGTAACGACTTTTGAAAGTAAGGTATTATAGGGGAAGCGGTGGAAAAAGTGGTCCGATTCAAACCATTTTCAATAGTTTTTGCCCTTGGGCCAAAAGCCGTCAGGAAAGATACCAAATTTTCAATAACATATCCCGAAAATTCCGACCACGGAGATGAACGCAAGACGCAATGGGCGAACGTTCGACGGACACCAAACAAACTTAGATCGATTCGGAGAGTGATTCCGATCGATTCAGAATTCTACTATCGAACTGTAATTAGCTTAGCAAAAAAGAAAGTCAAGATCGTTAGAATATTTTCAAAATTTGATCAGTTGGCGTTGACAGCATTATTTTTACTTGATATTTATAAAAGTAATTTGTAAAAAAAGACTTACAGAAGAACCTAAGGTCGCCTTGAAGAACGCAAGTACATAATACATACATGGATTTAATTTTTTCTTTGTATTTTTCTCTTTTTTAAGACTTGGACACACATACGTGAGCAAAGCGGCCTAAGAGATGAAATAATGGAAAACCATTGGGCTGAACGTTTCTTCGTTAATTTGCGTTCAATTAAGGAAATGCATTTGTTAGTCCGAACGATTTATGAACGCTTGGATCATTGCAATTTAAATCCAGAAACTTCTGCTCACAGTCCCCGTTGGACGGAAGACGAAAGAGCAATTGTTTTAAAGATAATTATAGCTGGAGCTTTTTACCCAAACTATTTCACGCGCACGAATTTAAATGATTTCGTTCGCGAACATGGCATTTATCATATACTATGTGGTAATGATCCCTGCAATACGGTATATTTTACAAATTTCGATAATCGACTCATTGGTCAATTGTATACGCGTTCGTTTAAAGATCTATTTAAGTCAGCATATATATGTCCCGAAGATATTGAAGTGCGTTTTCAACCCGGCTCTCAACGAGTCTTTATCACATTTAATAATGAGGCAAATTTCGGCAGTGAAAATATTGTCGAACGTCTTATGGTGCCAGGACGGGTAAGACCGGAAATTTATAAAGCGATACGAATGCGTATGTCTCGCATGACTTTCAATCTTAATGTAATGAAGTAAGTGCATACACGCACAAACACACGCAGATGTATGCAAAATTGAACTTTTTTTCTTTTTTGGTTTGTAGCCAAGACGAGGGCATAAAGTATGCTCTAAAACATGATTATGGCTCTATAGAGAATGGAGTTTGGCGGCCAAACAAACAATCCAATGCAACTAATGGATCATTTGTATTGCCCACAATCTTGGAAAAAAATTTAATTGGATTCATTACGCATGTAGGTTTACCAAAAATTTGTAGATTAATGGAATGCAAAGAATGCAATATATATATATGAACTTGGCTTAGCTGATCGATGAAAACATATGTTCTCAATCAGCCCGGAATGGTTAGTCTTTCTAGCCATGATTATATTCGTTTGTCGCGAGTTTGACTATTCTGATGAGTAGCATTAAGAAGTTTTTAGCGTTATATCGGTGATTACCTTAGGGACGAACATAACCTCTTTTCTTGTTCGTAGCGAATAAATCCTGCTTCTTTAACATTTCATATCCACTGAGAAAGACTGAGACCATATCAATAGCGAGAGCATTAGAGATTTGCAAAAATTTTGATCACTTGTTCACTTAAAAAGGGCATTCATTGTGGAAAATTGGTACATTAATCCGAATAGTTTCCATCATTTTCCATAATGTTTTACTATATTTTTCCCAACATACAACAACACATGGCGATATCACAGCCAATTTTCGCACTTCTTCAACTTTGTGGACCCGCTTGTCAGTCAAGCCATGTTCGAGCGATCTGAACAAGTGGTAATTAAGAAGCGTTATACCCAATGAGCGTGCCGGTTATGACAGAATTTCCCATTCGAGTTGCAATAAGTGATGAAAAATTAATTCGTGCCGTCATTTTTAAATCGTTGAAACCAAAACCACTCCACAAGTAGCGTCGGCGTAGACTGAATAAGTCAATAATATTAAATGCAACACTGTTAGGTAGGACAAGACCATCGAATTCAAACGTTATGTACGTACATCATTTCTTTATCAAAAGTCGGTGATCAAATTTTCGCAAACACCTAATATGTGCTTCGTTCTCTTTTACCCGTCTGTGTTCATCCGGAAGTCCATCTGGAATTCAATGAAAAAAAAATTTGACACATGACATAAAAATATTGAAAATTTCAAAATCAAAATTTGAGAAATTCAGATCATAAAACGATTTTCGACCGCCATATCCAACACAAAGAAAATTATATTCGGTTGTGACCACACCTTTTGATATGCATCACCGTCATCCTAAAAAGTAATTTAAAAAGGACAAACACAAATTTCTATATTCCATAATATTGGTTGGGGCGTGGCGGAAGTTTTCTATTTCATAGAATAAAAGTTGAGATTTATATGAGATGTTTGCGCTCCGATTTATGGGTTCATGAGTAGCGAGCAAAAAAAACACGAAAAGCAAAAGTGTTTCAATTTTTCTTCCATAGGCGTGGGGGTAGCCCTTTGAGCGGTTCGGTCATGTTCAAATTCTTTTGAAAACTTTGTGGGCGATATCTTTATTTTTGCCAACTAGAGAATGTTTACCACAGAGACTACACATGGGACATGCTTAAATCGATTCAGAATTTCTTACTAATCAAAAAAAAAAATTTATATATATATATATGTATATGTATATATTTTATGGGGTTTTTGGACCTTGCTGCTGGACTTTATAAAAATTTTGCAAAAAAGAACAAAAAATTCGGTACATCGTAATATTGTGTGGGAGTGGCTAATTTTTCCAATATTTGTACAATTTTTATAATTTCATTTGCTGCAATTGTGTGAGCGCTGAGCAAAAAAATAGAGATATTCTCAGTTTACGTGGTACTGTAGGCGTGCCGTTTAATCGATTAAGTCCATTATCAATACGAATCCGCGCAAGAGAACTCGCAATAATTCAGACAAATTAGAAGGCAAGAGCTTCGTTATTGCGGCCAAGAGAATGTTTACAACAAAACAGACAGACGGACATGTTTAAATCGATTCAGAATTTGATGATGCTGGGCAAAAATACACAAACTTGTATGGGTGGCGGGTGGGCCCTGAAGCTTTCTTTTAGCGTTTTGCCAGGCTGATATATCTCGTGCAGTTCGCTGACGTGTATAAAGCAAACTTTCAATTGAAGCGATGGATCAAGAATCGAATGTAAATAATTCGTTTTAATTTTGTTTTTTTTTTCTTTATATATATTTCTAGATCGAGAATTGCAGTAAATTTTTCTTTTTACCTATGAGCGAATTTGAATGTTTACGCGAAATTGATGAAATTTTAAATAGATCTAAGGAAAGAAATTTGTGTTCATTCGATAATATTGATAAAATATATAACGGTCTGATTGTATCGGCCCCACTCAATGGAAGATATTGCAGAGCTAAAGTTTTACATAAAACATATAACAAAGAAAACGAAAGACAATTTAAAGTAAGTTAATGCGATATTCAAGATTAATATATTTCTTAAATAAGTTCTCTCTCTCTCTCTCTCTTTCCATCTCTCTCTTTTCTCTCTTTCTCTTCTCTCTCTCTCTCTTCTCTCTCTCTCTCTCTCTCTGTCTCTGTACAGTTATTTTTCATCGATAACGGATACCTGGCCGATATACACTTTACTAGCTTGAGAAGAATACCAGAGAAATATAGATTAATGCCTCCGCGTGTTTTTGAATGTCGTCTGGCGATGGTGCAGCCATCAACGGTTAAATCATCAACATGGCAATGGTCGAAATCTGCTAAGCAACTTATGGAAAATTACACCAAAAAAAATGAAGTCCATATTGAAGTGTATTCAGTGGTATACGGTATAGCTAATGTGTTCATTAAATTGGAAAATATCACCTTAAACGATTTGTTAGTACAGAAACAATATGCAAGCAGGACTGAGGAAAACTATTTATCAAAAGTAGGTGAAATATCTACACCACTCGTGATATGAGGATGGTATATTTAGTTTGCCTAAACGTGCGTAACAGTCAGAAGGCTGTATAAAGGAAGATAGATCCATCTTTTATTATACCAATCGATTGAGAATCGTGTTCTGTCCGCCTGTACGTCTTGTTTTCTTCCTCGCTCAACCTACTTTGAGGAAATTTGATTGACATTGACATTCTTTCACCTAAACATAAACATAAACCCTTGTTCGGATCACTTTTGCCATCCTTCCACATATACTGCCTTTGTTTTGAAAAGAAAAGTTTCAATTTTCCAAAATTTTTCGGCAAAACCCCTTTTTTTAACGATATTTCTACATTATAAATGAATATGAAATATTTGATATGGCTGGGTCGATTGTTTCAAGCCCCTTTCATGTACCTGTTCCTACGATAATTGAATCTTTATCTGGTAAAAAGATGTAATTTGAAGAATTTCAAAATGAAAAGCCTTTCATAATAGTAAATTGATAAAGTAGTCGAATTCGGACCATGTTGTTCTATTTTTTTGATATCACCGCACATAAGGAATCTCAAGAAATGTAAAATCTTATATGGCAGAAAGACGTAAAAGTTTTACGATGAAAATTTATTCATAATAGTGGTAGTAATAATTTGATATAAAAATAAGTTGAACCATATTTGAACCGCATGGATTCATTTCTCGGACCTCATTCCGTATAAGATCTCGAGGAAAAGCTTGAATTTTTAATATTTTATGAGGAAAATTGATTCATAGCAAAAACTTGGCAAACAAGTTAATGGCTCTATTCTTTAAGCCCTAACATATATATATGGAGGCAAAGCCTATTCTCTAGCATTCTATGACTGAAACTGAAAGATAATAAAATTTTTTTTTGAAGTTCGCTAAATTTGGATTACGTCATATGATGTTTTTTGTTTTTTTTTTTTTTTTTGTTTTGGGGCATCTTCCCATCTACGGGCTTTCAGGAGAGGTATGCCTTTGCATGAAAATAATATGTAATTCGAGTGTTTCATTATCAAAATGAGTGAAGAAATGCATTACGCGAAGTGGTGTAGGGTATCTAAATATCGGCCTTGCTCGACTATAATATTCATATTTGTTTTATTTTCTTATCATATGATATTAAAGACTGATCACGATTTGCGTTTGCGGAAACAAATTTTGGCGGACTATTATAAAACCAATATTAAGAATCGTAAAAGTGAAGATTATATGCCTTCCTTGCCATCTAGCGCCGAAATCGGTGTTGATCATCCACCGCCTACTGAACTATGCAATAAGGTTATAAAATTGCGTGGCCCTTACAGTCCTTTAGAAACGAGAATTTTTTCAGCTACTAATGCCGGCTGCTTAAAATCCACACAGATCGAAGGAAATTCTGTTAACTCAGTGTTAATTGATACCGATCCGCAGGATGTGCATGAACGTTTAATTGTCGCTGCTGATGTTACAGAAAATGCGTCCAACAGTATAATTATAGCCCGAGATACCACGCTCATGCCAAATATACACGGATTTGCGGCATTAGTTACAATGATGTTTTGTCCGACCATGCAAATCGAACGCAACAGGGCCCATACAAAATATATAAATATTTTAGCCGGCTTGGGTTATGATGAGCACACATTTAAGCCTCTATATGGTGAACATGATTTGATTTTGAATTTGGATGCCGAATTCGATACAAATGATTTTCAATTGGTAATGTAATGAATAGGTTAAGTAAATGTGTGTGTGTGTGTGTGTGTGTCTGTTTTTTCTTTTACCAAGATGAAATTTCTCAACTAAATTAATTGACGACATATGATAGGAAATATTGAAGAAATTTTCCATTCATTTCCATCGTCTCACATATATTATAATACCTACTCCCCTCTGAAAGGTACAGGATGGGATATGCTAATTTTTGTTTTTTTTATAATGTATGCAACAACTAAAAGTAATCTTTAGAGACCCTATAAAGTATATATATTCTTGATCAGTGTGAATTTCTGAATGGATTAAGTCATGTCCGTCCGTCTGTATGGTATGGATTATTGGCACTCTCCTGATCGCGAAAATGAAGATATCGACTTCAAATTTGCTAGAAACATTAGAAGTTTTTGCGCGCAGGTTGATATTGAAAATGAACCAAATTGGTCGGAGCAGAAGCCCGCAGTGAAGCCAAAACTGAACGCAACCCCTTTTTCTTAGCAAAAATTTGCGGATTTTATAGGAATTAAGAAGGTTGACAATTTCCACATTTACTTACCAAAACACTCTACTCATCACGTGGAAAAGTGGAAAAAATCGGCCATGCCCACACAAAGTTACAGTGATAAAATTTAAATTTTTTTGCGACTTTTTTTAAAATTTTATGCTGACTTATCCTAAGGCAAACAAGAAAGAATATTTGAAATTATTTTTTAGATATCAGATGAAATGAGCTGGAGTGCTAGAATGCGATAAAGTGTGTTAGTTATAATTTAATTATGGTGAACCTTCAATGTCTTGGGGCGTTTAAGGTCATGGGACGTTTAGAAAGGACCGATAAATTCTTAAACGGACCTAGAGTTCATGTAGTAGTGGGTATGCGAAGTTCGTCCCCCACCGAAAATAACTTTTTTGCTTGTTTTTATTTATATTTGTGGAATGTTTGAGTTAAAATTCCAATTATACCTAGAAAGTATTACACCATTAATCTACGAAAGCAATGTTTTCGAATGAGAATTCTGATTGAAAGGTCCATAGCAAACTTTTAAAAAAAAGAAGTTAAACACTGGAATTTTTGGGGAAAAATCAAAAATCAGGAGGTTTACGTCATAGCTATCAAGTCGAAAGACTTGAAAAACTTTTCGATTTCGGACCTGATCTACGTTTGTCGCTTACTTAGCTTGTTTTTTTTTTTTTGAAGTTTTGGAAGTTTGAAAATCTGGATTCTTCTATAAATTCGCTAAGCTTCAAGTTCACTGCTTAGCACAAGAGTATCCGCGTTTTGTGTAACATTTACTTTATTACATTTAAGGCTACTGTTAAGTGTCTCTTGAATAGTATCTGAGGCGGTAGAGACGGATGCACACGTCACTGCTGATCTAGCTAGTTCGGGAGGTATGGAGGGTTTTAATACAGCCGATTACATCTAAGAGAAATACACGTACAATCCTCTATAGGAATAAATGGGCGGGCGAAACCCACTTGTCGAACGGGCAGATCGTATGGACTGAGCCAACTTTGTATATTATTCTAGACGAGGAATGTCGTAGACCGCGATTTAAAAAATTAAGTTAAGCAAAAATTTCTCTGTCGTCTTCTAAAGATTTTTTTTCTGTGTTTGCTTCTGAGTTTCAATAGCTTCCTCTTTCTGTTAATAAAGTTAGTCTGTTTCAATTTTTAATTTTTTTTTTTTTTATTCATCATTCTTAGATAAATCACTTACGTTACAGCATGGACGCTATTCTTTACGCGGAACCAGGTGATCAACATCCCAATATTAGTCCCGGTTGTGTTGGCCTTCTGCAAACAGAAATTAAAGATGTCATTGTCAAGTAAGTCGCATATTCAGTTTACATAAAGGTAGAAATTATTGTAACCTCTTGACGCTTTAACCGTTTTTGATGCAAGACATAATAAATTGGTTCAAATTTATGTAACGTACAGTAGTAGGAGGAAGACTTAACAAGATGCACTAAAAGGAATCAAGCTTTTCCGTCTGTGTGATATCTGTCCACAATTCTTTGCACAACTTTTTGATAAACCGACGTCCGAAAAGGAATACCATTGAAATTAGATTGAACGGGATCGGTCCACACCTACGGAAAATAAAAACAGAACTTGCAGTTTTCGATATTTCTTAACAAAGATTGGTAGAATCTGAACGGGTGGACGAACCTAACCCTACCTGACCAAAGGACATCATCAACATCATCATGGCTCTATATCCTTGCGAATCCTGTAAAGCTACGAAAGTCGTTACCACTCGTTACCACTTACCAAAGCAGTTATCAAGGCCTTTTATGATTTATAAATCATATCTGGATCTTTGAATATTATTATTTGTATTGTACGATATTGACATGTCATGCCATCTATATCTTTACTTTTACTGGTGTTCCAAGACGGCGCCGAAAGAGTCTCTATAGTCGTGGCCGGTTTTTTTTTTATCTTGGTAGAACAATTTCATTGGAAATTATGGAATATATATATATTTTGTGAAGTATCTGAAGGTAGCTTCTAGGCGTTTCGATAAAATGAATATATTTCTTATCTTTCCGTGCTGAGTAGAAAAACTAACTTTACCACAATTTAGACTTTATGCGGTCAGACAGATAGGTATTTTGGTATTCCTCGCAGATAGGACCCCCTACGAAATGTAAGCCTTAGAGCGTAAAGTTTTTGCCATTTTATGAAAAAAGCAAATTAACGGTGTTTTCGCCATTTTATGAAAAAAAAAAAACAATTTGGTAGTGTATTCACCGAAATCTTGTTGAGTTATCTATACACATTTAAAAGTTGGACTGGGCTATATAGACGTATAATGTTTTTTCTTGTTTTAATCTGTATTTCTCTTTTTATAGATTATTAAAGAAAAATCGTAAATACATTGGAACGAACGGCAATGCTAGTTGCAATATTTGGAAGAGATCTAATGATGATGAAGTTTTCGAAAATGTAAACGTATTTGGAGACCGTTCCATATTTCCAATGCATTCAGTGTTGCGTTTGAAGCGTGATAAACCTGAACTTATACATGATTTATTATTACATTGCGAAGAGTTGCATAATCTGCGGCAATTGTAAGTATATAATTTCTCCTAATTCCTCGGTCGATAAATTTCAAATTTATGACTTCACTCCTTCCCGTTCGCAGAGATTCGGTGCGAAATATTACTTGTCGCCTATGTAATCAACATTTGAATAATGCTTCAGAATTACGCATACATTTGCTTTCCCAATTACACTGTGATCGCGAACAGGAGATACATTTTAAACCGCTACGACGATGAAGCGATAATTCTTTTTACTATTTCGTTCGTAGCTTTGAAGCTTTTTATGTCCCCTGCAAATGAATTCAATTTATTGAAATCTTTTTTTTACATTTCATTTTATTATATTTATTACTATTACCGCAATTTCTGTACCTCGTAATAAAAGGAGAACTTTAACATTAGTCCTTCCACATGTCACCACTAAACGCAACGGATTAATGGATAACGAAGATTCATCACTCAAATGGATATATTGGTCTTATCCTCAACATTTTCAAACCAATAAAAAAAGAATGTTTTTAAATATTAAAAGGTTGTTCTTTAAAGATTTAAAAATCCATCCCGTAACTTAAAACAAAACAAGAAGAAATGCGCTAAAATTTCTTAACGAACTTGATTTTCGAAAATTCATTTCAAAGATCAAATTTTTGGGTCGTAATCGAAGAAAAGGAGAAATGCTGAGTGTGCGGTCCTTATCTATAAAACCAATTCACTTTTGCCCGGTAATCTGTCTGAGCGAAGAGTTCCGAAGAGAATTTGTCTCTTTTGAAATTTTTCAGTTTGCGATCGTATTCTGAGCTGGTTGATCGATTCCATTATTGTCTTTGGTCAAAACACGCACCGACCACATTTGTTGTATTTTTATTATTATAATTAGAGTATTTCACATCACTCATTTTCTCTTAAAAACAAAAATAAAAGTAACAGTGTCCAAAAAGATCTGCAGGCGGCAGTAATATTAGAGAGATATCCTGCTTGGATCAAGTCAAACAAAATTATGATCTTTGCTAAGGGCAAAAAAGTGTCGGTGACTTAAAATGTGAAGTAGTTTTACGCATAAAACGACAATGGCTAAAGCTAAACTTCGTTTAAAACAGACTTTCACAAAAGGAACAAGAGAGTTCAATTAGTACTTTTAAACAGCATCGTCATTTTTCATAATTTGCAAATAAATGGGGTGTTGCCAGTCTTTTTATTTTGCGTTAAAAAGAGTTGTATTAGCGCTTTTCAACACTACTTTTGCTGTCATTTCTGTGTTTCTGTGCGAACGTAAGAAGAAGAAGTTTACATTATTTTTCTATCCTTTTAAAAACAAAAAACGAAATTACAGTAGATTAAGAAATTTATTGAAATGTCTTTAAAATCTACGAAAAAAATCGATCAAAAAGAATATTTAAAAAAGTATCTTTCTGGTGATAAAATAAGAAAGAAGAAAAAGAAAGACAAGAAGCGCAAAAAGGAAACGGCCACTGTAAAAATTATCGATGATGATCAGATTCAATTAGATCGTGTTATTGATATTGACGAGGAACTTTTATTGACGGGTGAGGATGCACCGCAAATAGTAGGCGAATACATAGAATTGGATCTGCCAAATGAGAAAAAGTGGAAAAGCATTGCTGTCAAAGAAGAACCATTCGAAGAAAACACAAGCCAACCGACAGCTGATTTAGATCTTTGGGGCCGCAAACCTGGAGAAGTGAAAATCAAAAAAGAGCCCTCTTCCCCAACAAACGCAAAAAGCAGGATCACGACGGATATGTCACCACCTCGAAGAAAGCAAAATAAATATGTGCAACCCAATCAACATAGAGAATATAACGGGAAATCTGGGAAATCTTACATTACGGATTATGATTCATTACATCACAGAAATGATAGGAAATTTTCATCAAGCTACTCTAGACAAGGCACATCTAGAAAAACTGCCAGGCAGTCTATGGATCAATCACCACCGCGTAAAAGTGATAAACACCAAGGGAAAAATTACAACAGGTCACCAGATAGAAGAAGAAATTCGAGAAGAAATTCTGCAGATAGGAAAGAGGAACAGCTATTGCCACGAAGGGACAATGATGAACCTGCTTTTCGAAAAGATAGAAATCGTGAGCAATCACCGACAAATCGGACGAAACGAAAAAAATCAGAGGAATCAGCGTTAAGTAGAAAGGATAAAAACTCGGATCAATCACCCTCAGAAAAACGTAGAGATTCCGATCAATCACCTCCGAGACGAAGGGCGAAAAGTCCAAGGAAAGAAAGGCGAAATTATTTATCCTCTGATCGGACGTCGCCTAGAAATAGAAAAACTCAACGCAATCGCTCATCATCTGATCAATCTCCAGTGCGACGCAGAATTAAAGAAGAGAAACTCTCTGAAAATGATTTGTCACCTCAACGAAAAAACAACGTTGAACAAAGAACTTTCTCACGTTGGCAACGGAGCAATCGAAGCGAATCACCGCCTCCCACGCATAAGCCTAAAGCCATGAAGACATTAGATGGAAAAAAGGCAGGTTTACAAAACGCCAACGAATTGCAAGCTGAAGTCGCCGAAAGGCGACGTCAAGAGGATAATCTATTCAATAATATGCCTTCTGATTTAACGGGTCGTGATGCTGAGGTAAGAGTACGTAACACCGGACGGCTGGGGCGTAAAGGTCAAGCTGCTCGTGAAGAAGATCCTAAAGCAAAGAAGAAACGCGAAGCTTTTGAGCAACAAGAAAAGGAATTATACGATCGTTGGGGTAAAGGCCTTAAACAAATTGAAGATTATCGCCAGCAAAAAGCAGATGAAGCATATGAAGGCAGTAAACCTTTGGCACGTTATGCTGATGATAAAGATTTGGATAAACTCTTACGTGAAAAAGAACATCCTGATGATCCAATGCTAGAGTATATGCGTCGACGTCGCAGAGAAAGAGAAGGCGACAAGTTAACTAAACAAAGTATAGCGGCATACGAAGGACCCTATCCAGAAAATCGTTTCGGGATACGGCCTGGTTATCGCTGGGATGGCGTTGATCGCTCTAATGGTTATGAAAGCAAATGGTTTGCTGCACAGAATGAGAAGAAAGCACGACAAGAAGAAGCTTATAAATACAGTGTAGAAGATATGTAGAGCACTCCTATCTTTTTTTTTTTTTTTTTGGTGATAAATAGATTATTTTGTATTTAAAAATAACCAAAGATTGAAATTTACATTCTGTATTGGAATTTAGAAATATTCCTAGCTTTAGATAGCTGTCAATTAGTAAAAAATCTTTACAAGTGGTTATGGACGATGACGCAATCGGCAGCAGGGGTTCTGAAGGTAAAAATTTATGCTTTGGTATCTTGAAAGATCAAAAGAGCAAATTGTTAGCAGTGACGTTGACGCTTCTTGTGAGGTTCGTCATTTGACGCCTAAAGAGTAAGTATTACCAAATATTATCGTCTATTGGTTGCTTGTTTTTTACTATCACTTTTATTCCCCGGCGCAAGTATAATTTAATTTAGTTTAACTTTGAAGCATATAGAAATAATAATCTAATCAATGTTTATTATTTTGTATTGTTGACGTTTCATACGAAATAAGTAGCAACGCCTCATTTAACCAAGCAATCCTCTAATAGGGGTATTAAAATATTGAGACATCCTTCATATAATATAACGCATTATATAATATAACCGCCACATACAGTTGCTAGTAACTCATCTGATATGAATTGCTTCCAAGTTGCTATCAATTAACCCGAAAGTGAAAGGTCCAAAAGATACGATCCATTCTTAGTCTGTTTGTTTTACAGTTCTCAAGGTACATTTCTACTCAGCTGGGTGTTCTAAAATAACGTCTAAAATAAAGATCAATGGAAACTGAAACAACAAAGAATTTCAATCCAGCTCACTTGCAATTGTTGCATTTACCTCCCCGCCACAGTTCTGTTCCTTTTTGGCCTGCACCTTTATTTTTATCCAACATTTTCTTGGCCTTCTGCAATTCAGGAAATCGACAAGATAAAATTTGCCATGTTATATAGAAATAGTTATGTGAACACGAAGTTCCTTGTTTGAATTCCAACCATTTCTATTTAGCGTTTTACTAAATTTATTATTTTCTAACAATGAAAGAAAAACCATCAGATAACATTCGTTCTCTAAATAGCTAAGAAAACAGCTGTTTACTTCAACAGTTGTTTTCTATTTTTTTTAACTATTTTAGCATTTCATGTTTTTGTTACTGTACTTACTAACCAAAAATTGGCGCTGAAAAATTTTTTTCAATTGAAGGTGTTCAAACTGTCTAATCGTTCACAGCCCGAACTTTATTACTTTAGTATGATTTTTCAATTCACGTCAATTACTCAATTTTTTTGTATTTTTTGTTTAATTGATGTTTTTTTCTATAATTTTCTGGTAGAATCCCTTTTCTTATTAAAACAGTTGCCTCTTTCATTACACCAAAATAAAGCAATAAGACGAAGAAACAATAAAAATGTACGGAGAATAGATATAGAGTTGCTCCTAATAAATAAGAAAAAGTGGCAATACATTCGTCATGAGATCTGTTAAATGACAAAGCTTTACAAACAAACAAATCAACTGGATAACAAACAGTAGCAACAGTAAAATAAAACATATATATATATAAATAAAAAATAACGTTGCTTTTCTCTTTTTTTTAACTTTATTGAAAATAAAATGATTAAGTGAATAAATGTCATCATGCAGCCAACCCAAGCAATGCTGAACTCTCTCCTAATTGTAGTGTACACTTCCAAATTTAATCGTCATTATTTTACACAAAACATATTTTCAATTGTTCCTATTTGCACGTTTTCGTACGGTTTCATGATTTTTTTTGACAGTCTATCAGCTGTTGAAAACGTCTCTGTCTTTATCGTATAATAGTGTAGAAAAGAAAAATAGCATCGTAATCTTCACTTTCTTAGTGCACACAAATTTCCGAGAAGAATGCTTTTTTCGAATTGTTTTGGAAAGCAAATTGCCATTTCAATAATTATAAATAAGAGTATTTTTGTTTTATTTGGTCTTAGATATTGAATATAAATTGTCATAGATTAGAGGGCATGAGTAATCATGCCGAATGTTTGTCCTAAACGAGAAATTTATTTTAAAAAGGAAGACCCCCTGTATTGTGTTTCTTATTTTTTCCATTATACTCTTTTACTGCAGCAGTGTTGTCAATAATGTAAAAAAAAAGTATATAACTGAAAGCGTAGTAATGACAAACCAAACCTTCATTATGTTGTCTTTATATATAAACTGTAATTAATTTACAATCTAATTACCAAATTCAACATTCACTTACACGCTACAATTATAGCTGTTTTAAAAGAAATTTTTAATTTAACAGAATGAAAACAAAAGCTTATGTGGAAAAGTATTCTTATTAGACTGTTATAAAAACGTTAAGAAAATTTCTTGAAATTGTAGATTAACAACACTTCACTATCTAAACTGAGTGTGTTTACAACCGTTTCTTGTTATGTTTGTATTGTAAGTGATTTAATCGATGATTGTGGTGGATATTATGGCAAACAAAAAGAAAAAAATTTATTTCAAATAAATAGAAAAAACCAAAGTAAAAATCATGTGAAATTTTATAAACAAAAAAAAAATTAAAATTTCCAGTGCCTTTAATCAAATACAAGAATAAAAATGTATGACACAGAATGAAAACGAAATTAAAGTGAAGAATAAAGTAAAGAAAAAAAGAAAAAATAGAATCATAATGGTGGCAAAGTAAACAAAAACAATTGCTACAGGTATGTTAAGAAAAACGTTCCTATTGGAATTATTGCAATTAAAATTCAATGACATTTATACTATATATGAGAAAATTTGCTTAATCATCACAATAGCATTTTAAGTTTATCTCGTCAAACAGTAGCACCCACATTATGAAAGCAAAACAAAAAAGAAAAAAAAAATGAAACAAATTTTAATTCAACTATTCATTAGAAAATTTTGTTGAACTTGTACCTTGAAATGGTGTTTTGTAATCTATCTTGCTTTTATTTATTTATTTTTCTTCTTTCTTTTTTTTTTTTTTTTTTGGTATGTTGAACAGAGATGGACTAAGCCAATAGATTTGTTTCTTCTAAAATAACCCACAAGGACAAAAATCAACAAAATAAATGAAATATATTTTAAAATCGAATTTAGTATAGAATTGTGTGAGGAAGAAAAGAAAGAGAGAAAAAAAAGAAGAAAACACAATACAATCAAAACGTTAAGCGTAATGATGGAATATGAAAATTAACTATGCAAGATTGTCTATACCAGTAAACAAGCTAGTGGTCCGAAGCAAATAAAATTGTTGACATAAAATCAAAGGCAACGTGTTTTTGTTTATCAAATGCTTTAAGGCATACATACAAACATTCATGAATACGAACGGGCTGCGTGCATATGGCCAATTGAAAAGTATGCAGAACGGAAATAATAAAATGAACAAACATTCACCCTTTAGTGAATTTCATCCTTCAGTGAGTTTTCCTTTCAGTTGAATGTTGGATATTTTTATCCATGGTTGCATTTGATGTACGCAGGAAGAACATCTAGAGTTTGGGCGGTAACTCATCTAGACAATGTTTGATTTATGGTACCCCTTAGGGCACCTCTTTCATTTTTATAAATTTTGCATTTAACCAATGCTGAGGTTTCAAACAGTTCCGGCAAGTAGTAAAAAAAACCTGTCGTTTTGTATCTTGCATTCCTGAACAACAAACGTTCTAAAATTTTTGGTGGACTTTGATTAATTCGGAGCTCAGACTTTAATTTTTGATTTTTTATCGCCACTGGGGCCTGCAGCTGGAAAAGCAAATCTCATCGTACAAAGAAGTTTCGAAGTTTACACCATATATAAGGTACTTATGCAAATGCAGGCCATATCCGATTGACAACTTAAGGCAACCTTTAGTTTGCCAATCATTATCCGCACTTATATATCGTTCACGAGAAAACTTCGCAATGCATTTCAAGGCCTTGGTTTTGTTGGACCGGTCTATTTCAAAAACATTTAACATATCCTTGCAAATTTTTCCCAACTTTCTGTTACTGCCATTAATATTTTTCTACAGAGATTACTCTGCAAACTTTTCAATTAATTCTTTTGCATATAGCATACATATACATATACATGATTGTTCATATTCATTGATGCATGCCTGATATTGTTTTATATAAGTTTTTATATGTGTGAAATTATTTTCTCCTCTTTTCTTCACTCTTACAAAATATCTCGAGTGTTGTAATGCGATATACAAAAATTTACATAATCAGGAATTGAGATGGGCTATCGGTTAACAAAGGAAACGATGCGGTTAAAGAGCAATCAAGTTAGAATTTATTAAATGAATAAAATGAAAGAAATTTCCAATTTGCTGCGGTATACGGTAACGTCCTTGACTTTATTTGTCGAAAGCAAATATCAAATTTCAATGATGCTGCTGGCTTATCAGGATCTACCTTTGAGAAAAGTCGACAAAAAAAAGGACTCCTTCCACTTCTTATTGGCTGGAAAATCCCTCGCAGTTATGACAATAAGTTGACTTGCAGTGTTCTGCTCTCTGCCCATCTGTCGCGATTAGTAAGTTTACACACCCATGTTTAGTTACCAGTGCGGTAGACCGCCTAATAATTATAGATGTAGATACTGGCCGTGAAGGCTGAACCCTCACACAATAATTACAATTAGCATGCGGCCATGATTATAGTGAGGGTTCGATCGGGAAGAGGTTTAACATAATCACCATCTGCCTAAAGCCACTTCCTATCTTTCTCTCTACTTTTTTCTGACCGTCATCATATGACACGGGTAGGACGTATTCACAACACTTGTCGTTAAATAATAACTTTAGGTAAAAATCGCGACAATCAAGTCTGTGTCCGGTGGTTCCATACTCAGCGTAGTGAAGTTTACTTTGGTCATGACTATGGTGAGTACTCAATCGACGAACTACTCAACGGATGTTCGTGTAATAAGTTGACGGCTAGAAAGAAGAACTGAAGAAAGTGAATGACGAAGGGTGAGAGACGCTGCCTAGTGGCTCTCTGACATTTGAACCTGTGGATACTGATTCGCTAGTCGCAATGGCTCCTTAGAAGAAGAAGAAATGGAAGAAGGGAATGA